TACTCACAGGGCTTAGCAATACATATATATATATATACACACACATACATATGTATATATATACATACACACACACACACATATAGTTAACTCATATAATAGTCTTGTTACTTAAAATCGTAAAATGAAACAGTCTAAACTAAACAAGAATCCAGCTAAAGCAGTGATGAATTTTGTTTCCAAGTAGAAGGCTATTTATTATATATTCCAATCGCTCCCCAAGCAACAAGATCTATGACCCTATATTAACACCAACACTTGATGCACAACAAGTTTACCAGTGAGATCTCCACAAAAGAACAGGCAAACTGATACCAAGAGAGGTCAGCTTATTTGAGAACTCTCTTTAAAAAGCAATAGCTCTTTTTTTCTGCATTACTTCAAAGAAAAAGGATTGCCCCAGAAATGGCTAATTTTATCCCTAAAACTCTAGAGTTGAACCACTATTTTTTTTCTTTTTTTTCAACGTGTAGAAAAAAGCAACATGGATTAATCTTGTACTCCAATGCTATTTCCTCTTAATTGCTTCTCCTTTCTACCTTTTCAAATCTTATCCACATCTCAAAGACCCCAAATTTTCCTTTTTGGCTTTTCATTCTCCCTAAGGACGTGGCCTTCATGAAAATCTCCACTGTTTAATCGTAACACTTGGATATGTGATCTCCTGTATATGGCACTGACCCATTTGTGTTAATCATGACAATCTGAATAAATCATAAGTTTCTTAAAATTCATATCTTACCATCTTTTTTAAGTTTCTACTACCCTTTTCACCAAAGTCTTACTACTAAGTACATACCAAGTATCAGTTTACAAATCTATATATACTCATTCTTATTCTCAATTCTGTTTTCTTAGATCACAGTGAGAGTGGTGGTCACTAAAAGTAGTAATGCCTTTTTACACTATTGATGTTCAAAGACAGGATAAATATATCCCAACCTATTCTTTGAGTTCACTGAGACCAGAAACTCCAAATTATTCATCTTGGTAGCAATAAAAAGGTAATATAGTATTTGGCACACAATAGATGCTGAATAAATATGTTGAATTATACTTAAGGCTTTTCCATTATAGTACAGAAGACCCAGAAACCCATATTATTTCTGAAAAGTCAAGTAATTTGAGGTTTTACTAAATTCTGAGGGCAGAATAAATCTGCCCCTAGACTTTCTAGAAATCCTGTTCTTCTTCTTCTAATATACAATCTAATTATAATTAAGCAATAACAATTAATCATAAAAGATACCAATAATAATAGAATTTTGTTACTCATTGTTTTTTCTTTATTTTTTTGTTCATCAGTAATTTATTTATTTATTTACTTATTTATTTTTGGCTGCGTTGGGTCTTCATTGCTGCGCGCAGGCTTTCTCTAGTTGCGGCGAGCGGGGTCTACTCTGTTGTGGTGCATGGGCTTCTCATTGCAGTGGCTTCTCTTGTTGCGGAGCACGGGCTCTAGACGCGCGGGCTCAGTAGTTGTGGCACGTGGGCTCAGTAGTTGTGGCTCGCGAGCTCTAGAGAGCGGGATCAGTAGTTGTGGCACATGGGCTTAATTACTCTGCGGCATCTTCCTGGACCGGGGCTCGAACCCATGTCTCCTGCATTGGCAGGCGGATTCTTAACCACTGTGCCACCAGGGAAGTCCCTGTTACTAATTGTTAAAGAGTTCCAAGCAGCTACTATTATGTTGGAATCTATCCCACTACCTGAATTTTCAGATGACTGAAATCCAGAAAACTTCTAAAGAGAAAATAAATTTCAAAATAACCTCAAACAAATGTCTAATATTGGGGCTTCCCTGGTGGCGCAGTGGTTGAGAGTCCGCCTGCAGATGCAGGGGACACGGGTTCGTGCCCCGGTCTGGGAAGATCCCACATGATGAGGAACGGCTGGGCCCGTGAGCCATGGCCGCTGAGCCTGCGCGTCCGGAGCCTGTGCTCTGCAACGGGAGGGGCCACAGCAGTGAGAGGCCCGAGTACTAAAAAAAAAAAAAAAAAAAAAAGTCTAATATTGTTGGTGCAGAGTTTATGCAAAAATAAAGGACAAAATATTCAGAATACCACATTTTAGTTAGAATGCAAAAGGCAGATATGGGGACATATGTATATGTATAACTGATTCACTTTGTTATAAAGCAGAAACTAACACACCATTGTAAAGCAATTATACTCCAATAAAGATTTTTTAAAAAAAAGGCAGGGAAAAAACAAATACCATATGGTGAATGATATAGTGATGCAGTCATAATCACTTTCTTATTTCTAATTTCTGTTCCAAATTAATAACAGCTCTATGCTAACTTATATTAAAATATATTACGGCATAAACACATACCATTGCCAATAAAGGAATTAGAATTCAAAATATAACGGTTTATATTTAGTATATACCAATGATAAGCTGCCAGAATAGTGAATGTAACAATTAATGAATAGTGACGTTTATATTTACAAGTCATAGGGTAGGCACCAACAGGTTTGTGATTTACAAAGTTTTCAGTTACTCCTCCATTCAAAATTACATCAAAAACAGGTTCAGTCATGTGTGCAATATTATCTTAAAAAGATAAATGCTGGACAACTGCAAGATGTCATAGGTTAAACATGTCCTATAAATATTTTGTTCTTGAAATAACTATCTCTCCTATTACATAAATGGCCAGTGTTCTGAGATTCAGACATAGTATCCACAACTCCATGTGCAAACCTAGGATGATGATATCCTCACAAAAGTAATTAATAATCACATCAAATCATTTATCATTCATAAATTCCACTCTCAGGGGTGAAATTTTTAACCAGACAGGGCCTGGCACCCAATCAAAGCTTACAAAGCATCAAGATAAAATTTTATCTGTAGATCTGTCTAGAAGACAGATCTTTTCATTTACTTGGTTTTACATTACCTGTGCTTTTCTATTCCTTTCATAAACTGTTTGTTTATTTTTTCCCTAATAAAAATCCTCAAGCAAATGAAAACAGAAAGAGTGAAAGGGAGAGAGATCCACAGACTCCCTGAAACACTTCTTTGTGATTCTATCCAAGAGCTACAGTGAGGTTAAAAGTTTCACTATAGATCTACCTGGTCTCCAAACATCTACAGAATAATGATGCAAAGCAGAACTAGGACCATGTGCAGTTTCTTGTCATTTATTCTGTCTAAAATAAGGAGTGGGTGACACATTGTAACATAAGAAGTATGTGCCCATAGATGCGGAGTTTTGATTGACTACCTTTCTCTTAATCTCAGCCTCCTCGCTGAAGCAGTAAATACGTTTCTGTGCTGATGTAGGTTTCCCACATCCCCCATCTTAGAAACCTCAACAACCGTAAAGCACAATTCTGCCAAAAGGAACTTGCCCAAATTTGTTCGTTTTTTAAAACGCCATCATGTTTCGGATGAAAATACAGCCTGCCAAAGATGTCAAATAAAAGGATAACAAAGAAACAAACAGCATCTTTAGACTTGAATTTCTATGCATAACCTCACCATCTGTCAACCAGTTGTGAAACAATGATCCTAGAGAAGCCCTGAAACACGAACAAGTTTCCTCCTCGCATCTATCATCTGTATCAATCTCCGCTCTCAGGACCTCAGTAGTAATTATGTTCTGCCAGTGGAGCAACCTACAAGAATGGCATTTGCCATTTGCAAACCAAACCCTGCCGATGAATGGGTCATTTTAACAGACTTGTACTTGGTAACAAACGCGGAGTTCAGTTCACAGAGGTAACGGGGAGAGGGGGAGAAAGAAGGAGGGCTCTATCCTCACATTTGGATTGGAAATTGGACAGAGGAGGTAGGTCTCTAGAGGCCAGCCATCCAAACGACCCTCAATCTCTTCCCTCCTGGCCTTCAGGATTATAATTTTGGACCTAGATCACGCCCCACCCCTTCCCTTCCCACTGCGGCCACCACCTTCGAAGTTACAGTGTCAGCTCTCCTGCAACTGGGGGTGCGGACTCCCTGGCGGAGAACAGCACCAGGCACCCAGTCAGTAGCGGAACACTGGGCTGGGACTCTGCCACCAGCTCCGAGACGCCACCCGCGGGCTCGCGGGAGACCCCACCCCTCCCCACCCTGCCCTCGCCCCCGCCTGGAGCTGCAGCCTGAGTTACGCATCCTCAGCCTTGACACTGCCTCCGCTTCTTTCTATCCGCATCAACGCTGGTGGGGGTGGGAGGGCAGAAGTAAAATGGGGGTTGGGGGGAGCGACAAAGAAACACAACAGTCCTGGTTCCCAAGAGCCAGGACTCAAGTGGCAAGACGTTGGTGCACGCACACCAAACACACACACACACAATCACGCACGCACGCACTCACCGACGCGCCCTGCGCCCCAGGTTCTATGCCAACGGCGACAAGATAGGAGGAAGAAAGGAGGTGGGGTGGCGAGAAGGCCCGGAGTTACTGGGAGGGACATTCCGAGGAGGGCAGGGGATGCCTCAGGAACTGCGAAAGTGAGAAAGTCCCAGACCCCCTTTACATCCCCAAGTCTGGGTTCTCCTGCCAGCAGCCCCGGGTCGCCTTCCTTCCAGCTGGGCTCGGGAACCGGGGAGGGGGGCCGGAGCCGAGCTTCTCCCAGGCTGCCCTCTCGGGCCTGGCCCAGGGCACGGAACCCGGCCCCGGGCACGGAACCCGGCCCCCTTTCAGCCCCGGCCTGAGGAGGCTGCCAGGCAAGGAGAGACTTGCCAGCGGACTCTGGGGGAGCAAGAGGGCAGGAGAGAAGCATCTTGCACTCTGCGGCCGGTTGCTGGTTTCTTCCTCTGTCGACACACCCCCAGTGAATCCCCTTCCCCAACACACACACACACACACACACACACACACAAACAGAGACACGCGTGTTCACCCCCTCACCATCCCAGGTGCATCGATTAAAACACTAGTTGATTTCTTCCTGATTAGAAAAAAAAAGAAAGTGCAACAACTCTTCTCAGGAGTCGCCGGAGGAAAGAAAGTCCGTCTGCAGGCGTCTTTCTATAGTTTCCCTTGAGTTAAGAAATCTGGCGGTCCCCAGTGAAAACGGGACCGGGAACCCCAGCGGGTGAAAGGCGACGAACTCCTTCCCCACACCCCGCACCTCTCACCTCCTTAAGTTCCTTGGCCACGTCCTTCAGGTCGCCCAGGACTAATTCCAGATCCTCCACGATGATCTTGATCTGTTCCTTCACCTTGGTTTTGGAGGCTGCCGGCGGTCCCTCGGCTGGAGAGGACGAGGAGGGGGTCCCCTTGGACTTGGCTGACATTCTTTGGGGGCAAGCGAGGCAGGTCAGCACAGGCGGGCGAGCGGAGGCTGCTGCGCGCCCCGGTCCCTGGCGCCGCGGCGGCCGCTGCCGCCCCAGTCCCCCCACATCTTGGACGCTCCCCGGGCAGCGGCGGGTGGCTGCGCTCGGCGGTCGGCCGGGTGGCCGCACTGTGGTGCTGCCATCAACTCTCCGAGACGCGGCGCTCGGCGCGGGGCTGCAGACGGGCGAACAGCGCGCCTGCGCCTCCTCCCGCCGCCGCCCGCCGCTCGCGCGCACACAGGCGCTCGCTCCCCGCCCGCGGAGAGGGGCGCCTGGCCGCCGGTCCCTGGCTGTCAGCTGCAGTCCCCGCGGCACGTGCCTCCGGGATCTCTCCCAGAACACCTGGGAGTCAGGGAGCCGAGAGATAAGTTCGTGTCCTGCCCACCCTCTCGTCTTGATACTGAAATGCCCTCATCATCATATCCTGCTGGATGTCTTGTCACATCCAGCTTAGATTCCTTCTGTTTCACCCACCAGTAGAGACCCGGATCCCCACCACACTTTCTGATCGATTGATTAAGAACCACAGTAGGGTCAGAGTTTAATTTAGGGCTAGTAAAGCGACCCTAAATGTTCATCCAGGGCCAAAGTGTGTCCCGAAGGCCTCCAATCACTCTTCTACTCACCCAAGAGTTAAACAGAGGTGTTCTTACTTGTGCAGAAATAAAAAGAGGTGTGGATAAAATCGACCCCTCACCCCCTGGAATCATGATATTTAACCAGTGTTCTTGAAAGAGGTAGTTTAATCCTGCTGATTCCACAGAGCTAATAGAGGATTTATTAATTGGAAGTCCTCACATCAAAAATCCCCTGGGAGACTGTCTGAGTCATCTTGGCTGTACTCAACTGGGACAGCTCCCGTTTTTTGTTTTTGTTTTTCTAACTGTCTTTCCTCTTTTCGTGGCCTATGATGATGTATGTTTTGGGTGCAGGGGAAATACACTGGATCTCCTCTTGTGAAAGCTGAATAAGAAGAGTTTGCCACCAACTTTTTTTTTTTCTTTTTTGTATCCATTTCAAGTCTTTTGCAACTGAATAAAGAGGAAATAACTTTCTGACTGTTCTGTCAAAATGACCCAGGTGGGGGAGTTAACAGGAAGCCTTCAGTTTCATTCTCAGTAGGTGGCTAGGATTCTCATTAGTTAAAGTTTTAATTTCCTTAGTAGCAAACCCATGGGTTATTAGCTACTGACCTGGAAGGCTGGATCTACTTTATTTTCTTCATACACTCTACTCCAAATCATTATTTTAATAAGCTTCCCATTTAGTCATGCCTTAGCAAGGACCTCTGTCTCTTGCTTCTCACACCCCAGATTGTTCCATTATGCTTCTGTACATGAAGAAAATCTTGGCAGCTCTCCTCTTCCTCGTTCCTTAAACCCCTCATATTCACTCTCTTCATTCTGAATAATTCATCTTGATAAAATCCTTGGAAGTCATATTTGGAATATGGAAGAAAAAAGAGACAACAGAAGAAAAATAGAAATTTAGAAGTGTTATCAAAAGAATAACAACATTGAAAAATGCATTGAAAAAATCAGAGGAAAAAGAAAGGTATAAAGCAGAAGTTGCTGGAAGAAAATTAAAATAAGAATAAAGGAACCAGTGTGCACTAAGCAAATTGGAGAGGAGAAGAGGGAAGAAATTATTAGAAGTGTTAAATAAGTAATATGGTTCAGTTCTCTAAGGTAGAGAGAATGTATATTTTTAAGTGCCCTGTCTCTGCAGGTTCTTCTTTATTGTATAAAGGTGTAACAGTAAAATATATATACATCAGGTTTACAAACTCCCCCACGGTAAATTCCTAATCTTTAACTATACTCTTATTTCATATCTGAAGAAGGATGAGTGGTCAGAAATTGCGGGAAAGAATGTGAGAAAAAGGGAAGGTACTGCTCCTTTATATTAGAATTTTTGACTCTCAATAGTAGGCAAGTGAATAGGGAAGCCCCCCAAACTCAAAAATGATGAATTTAAGCAAGAATATTGGAAAAGAGGAAAGGAGGTGGTGTTTTTCTTCCACTGACAAAATAATCCTTTTATTAATACAAGGATATTTCCATGCCACTCTGAATCTCTTCACTAATGATTAAAAAAAATTCTGTTCTCCTATGGTATCCATTGCTGGCAATGAGCCAAACTATTTTGGCCCCAAACTGAATCATAATTATTACTTTAAAACACATTATGCACATCCATATCACAATTTACTCTTAAATAATGGTTATCATCTATCTATCTATCTATATTTAAATACAATATGGAGTTAACTGAAAGGGAAAAGTTGTAATTGGCTTCCAAACCCAAACTAACAAAGCTAGTCGACCCCCAGCAGTGATGACTACCACTATCTTTTAGTCATTAATCAGGTATGGATAAAATATTCCTAAAGAAGAAAGTTTTACAAAAAGAGTTAAAGACATTGAGGGGAAGGAGACAATAAGAAGGACACAAGGATATACATCAAATCTATTTGCTCTCTCTTTTTTTTATCACCTTTGTGGAAAAATTAGTCACTCCGTTGGCACATCCTGCACTCTGTCAGAGATTCATATATATGATGTTCTAAAGCCAAATTATGGGGACCACACAACAAAGTGACACCTAATAAAATTTCTTATTAATGTGTTCATAAATCTGTTTATGTACTAGTGCTAGAGGCAAATGGGTACATACTCAAACCACATCACTTATAAACTTAGAATAACAGACTGTTAATAGAAAGTGTCTTATTTGTAGAAATGATTGTTCACCCAGAATTTTATTCTTTCTGTATCTTTAGTCAACATTTTCTGAGGGTTGCAGCAGGAAGGATTGGATAATTATAGATCATCTAGTGGTTGTTCACTTACAGGCATTTATCAATATTTTCCTGTGTGTGTATGTATGTGTGTGTGTTTAATCTGTTGCATTCAATCTCTAAAAATTAACCTGCAGGAGCAATGCTATGACACTGACATACTTTTTAATTCACAAAGAGCTCAAGAATATTCCCAAAATATTTTGTCCCATTTTGTTGACAGCAGCTTTTATCAATATACCACCATAATAATGTCCACTGAGTCTCAAAAAAAAAAAAAGGATATGCATAATATAACATCGCTCTTATAATGACGTCGCTTGGTTTTCTTTCTTTTATTTCTTTTGCATAAACTTTGTTTGTAAAATCCAGTAAAGTCATTAGAGATATTTGAAAACATTAAGAAAAAGAAAAAAATAAAGGAATGACAACTTTGTTTCCACCAAAATAGTTTCCACTGGGTGAAAAATACTGGCAAACAACGTGGGTAGGAGAGAAAATGCCATTAGTGAAATACAACAGAGAAAAATGAGTAAAGTTCTCCACGTATACATTGACTAAGAAATATACTGTACATGATATGCCTAGGCAGTGATTTGCAAATCTGGCACACATCAGAGCTTGTTAAAATACAGATTGCTGGAATCCACCCCCAGGGTTTGTGATCTAGTAAGTCTGGGGTGGGGTTTGAAATTTGCATTTTAACAAGTTTCTAGGCTGCTAGAGAAAGACCAGCCTCTGAAAACCACTGGTTTGAGAGACTGAAAGAAAACTTTAGGTTTCTTTTTAGCTAGAAAGCCTTAAAGATCATCCAGTTACATCTCTTCATGTTATAGATGAGAAAACAATGCCTTGGGAGGTTAAATGGTACCTCCAAATTTTCACATCTAGGGAATACAAATTGGGAGCTAGAACCTCATGTTGACTCAGACTTGTGGAGTTGTCTCCATTTGTCTAGAGAATAACTCCTTTTTATGTAGTAATTGCTTTTGGCATGATGGCTATCTACTATAGATGCATATTGGTAAAAAAAAACAAACAAACAAATGTGATCTGGAAGTTTAAATACAAATACCCATTGTACCCTGAGTAATTAGAACTTTTTCTATTCTGAAGTAGCTGTTCAATAAACACTTGATAGGGACATGAATGAATGAAGTGTTGTCTATCTCTGTGTTCTGAAACTAATTTAATTCAACAAATAGTTTTTTAAATGGCTACTGTAGGCAAGAATCTATGCTATGGAGTAGATGTGCCACTAGGTTTAGCAAGGCACAGTCCCGGCAAGAACAATTAGATAATTCCACATATGACTCTAATATAAAATATTGTACCTCAGAGTATCTCTTTATTGCCCTCTTTGCCAACTACAGTCAGTTTATTTTACTTGACCTACAAAGTCAATGTATACTTAATTTTTTTTCCTTACTTTTTATCCATGAGACAGAAACTGAACTTTTGCTTAACTGAACAAAGGAAATTGTCTTGTAGCTTAACCATAGAAAGGCAAGGAGAGAAATATTTTCCAGTAGAATTGGAGCCAGAAATTCTAGGACCATTGGGACTATTTCTTTCTATGTACCCCATTCCCTTTTAATAGATTGGCTTTAGTTTCTCCCTGAAGTTGAACCTTGGTCAATGATAAATTCCTGTTCACATCTTTATAACTTTGCACGTAGAAAAGAAAGAGATAATTACAGCAAGCTCCCAGGAGAGGACTTTGATAGGTCCAGCTTAGGTCATGGACACACACCGTGGCCAATTACTGTGATCAGCTCAGGTGCAAAGCTGCTCTTACAGTTGTGCCACTCTTAGAGAAAAGTCATACATTTGTATATTTATTACCATGATTTTCCAGCAGGTGGCAGTAAGGTGAGTTGTTCTACAAAAATCTGTATATTATAATAATTTTCTGATAATATGGAAGTAAAATATTTTTAGGAAGCAAAACTGTTTTCAAATTCATACAAAGAAAGACATCATATGAATTAGCAATGGTCCTACTTGGGTTAGTAACTGGTGATGAGGAAGTTTAATGACTGGCCCAACTTGGATTAAGTTGCCTACACCTGTGGCCTATTTCTCCTTCAAAGGTGGAGATGTGCCCCTGTGAAAATAAAAAGTTATCTACCATCTAGCCTTTAGATTGGATTATATACCTTTCTTTTTCCTCACACTTCAGATTGACAATTTAAAATTGTTTTGCTTCCCAAAGCTAGCTGCACTCAAGTCTTAGTTTTAACATTTCATTTACCCATGAAAAGAGCCACCAACCCCCTCATCCATTCCCATTTTTGAGTCAACTCTAAAGACCTGCAATATTAATATTGTGATATTATATATTGCTGGTTATTATATATACATAATATATACATATATATCATTGGTTATACAGATGAACATAGCTCCTGAAACCCTTGGAATTTCCTGGGCAATAAGAACAATGACATAATGTTTGGTCTCTTGTTCTCAGTTCTTGAAAATGCTACAAGGAAGTGCCTTTTGGATCCCACCCAAGGGAGGAGGCTGGATGCCAGGAGAACCAACCATGTGATTAGAAAGTTGGGACTTTAAATCCCACCCCCTGATTCCCAGAAAGAGATGAGGTGCTTGAGGTTAAATCAATCACTACTGACCAGTGATATAGTCAACCATGACTATGGAATGAAGCCTCCATAAAAACCCAGAAGAACAGTTTCTGGCCCTCCTTTTCAGAGAGCTTTCAAGTTGGGGAATAAGAATGCTTCCAAGTGTCACCGTACTGGGCCCCAACCTTTATGTGGACAGAAGCTCCTCTGTTCTGCACCTCACCCTATGTATCTCTTCATCTCACTGTTGATTTGTCCCCTTTAATATCCTTTTATAATAAATCAGTAATCCTGTGAGTAATGGGTTTTCCTGAGTTCCATGAGCAGTTCTAGCAAATTCTTCAAACCCAAAGAGGGGGTTGTAGGTACCTTTGATTTAAAGCCAGTCAGTCAGAAGTACAGACAACAACCTCGGCTTGTGATTGGTGTTTGAAGAGTGGTGTTGTGGGACTAAGCCCTTTACTTGTGGAATCAAATTCTATCTTCCCATAGATAGTGTCAGAATTGAGCTGAATCCTCAGACACGCTGCTGGCATCTGAGAATTGCTTGTTGGCGTGGGGAAGCCTACACATACATACACACACACACACACACACAAAACTTGGAATTGAGTCCAGGAACCCCTTTCAAGACTTCCCAAGCCCAGAGCTGCTGAACTGCCCCACCACGTGTGCAAGCAAAATGCTGAAACAGTTATTCCCGTTCACCCAAGTTTTCAAGAGTTTCCACTTATCCTGAAACCTTGGGACCCATGCCTGACATCTCATTGTACTCTATCTCATTCTACCCCTCAGCTACAAAATGCTGGACCAAGTGAAGAAATAACCTGAGACTTTCAATATTCGAGGACCATTACAGACTTGGCCAAAGAGGTGCCTTAAAACTTGGCCAGTTGCCATTCTGCACAGTTTAACAGCCTAACAGCCTCTTTCCACAGAAAGTGATTCAGCTACAACCAAGGAATATTTGATCATTTAGTAGAACCCAATAACCCTGCT